CCCCCCCCCCTCCTCTCCCTGCCAGGGGAAACATGCTTTCAGGGGAGAAAGGTACAGATGTAGTGCATTATAGTAAAGCCACCTACTCCATGCTGTAGTTATTAGAGAGTGGCATTGGACGCTGTCTAGTCTACCATTAGTGGGTTATTTATGCCTGTTTCTAGGCTTGTAGATAGCATGGTGTCCAGCACAATGACACCGCTGACTAAGCTTTAGCGAGGCACACATGCAGACCACGGCTCGGCCTGGACATCTCATTAAGGAGGACCATTATCAATCGTCAGAGATCGAAATCCACTATGACAGTGCTGAAGAAAGCACCAGGGCGCCTTGGGCTGAGTCAGGATGGAAGTTCCTGGTCCACATCCCCTTTGATGGTTCAATCAGTGTACGAGCCAAGGTCAGTCATAGCTTTACTTTGCTTGGACTAGGTCTACTAGGATTTTTTTTTTTTGCATATAAAATCCTTCCCTGACGGATAAAGTATTTGAAACGACAATTTACTTGGAAACTATGAACATTTTCATACATTTTGTATGAACACTAAAAGCAGGTTTCTCTTTACAGCATCTTTTTCCTCCATTATTGTGTGGTTTATTCGCCCAACTGTCTCTGCAGGTTTTCTCAGTACATCTCATAGGAGTGTTCTCTCTCGCAGATAAATGAGCTGTGCTTTTGGGTCACCATGGCTTCGGTACTTTACCGCTAGATTAATGATGCTTAGCAAGCCCCGAGCCTTTGCTTTTAGCATTTTAGAAGTACCTCCATAAAATGAACTACAGGTACATCTTGTTTATTCGCTTATCTATTGGAGTTCATTCCTGTGGAAATGGTGCTATAGTGCGCATCAGTAAACTTGACTCTGAGCCAATGAACCCTCCTAAAAACATACTGTATTTCTAGAAAGACTTCAGAAACAAAGGTTCCATTCATATCAGGGATGCTCTTTTTATAAATGTTGCTAAAAATTGCCAAATGCAAATCCTGCGTTATTTCTTGTGTTGGAAATTCCACACTTAATCACCTTCTGGTAAGAAAAGAACAACAAGCTTAAACCAAAGTTGTGTTATTTAATAAAGAGTTAACAGAATCAATCATATTTCCAGCTGGAAAGGACAGAGGTCCGGCACTAGTAGATAGTTCCAGGATCTGACCCCGTTACACAGAAAAGCAATGTCATTTAGACACTGAGACACAGGAAGGAAGGCAATCCACATTACAGTCCTAAATT